GGCAGTAATTTCGGTTTACTCTGAGCAGCCTTTCTGAGTCCTAGGAGCCTCTTCCAAGGGCTCTGAATGTGTGGTGGTGCCACCTTGTGGAGAGATGATGTTAAGTTTCTAATCAGAAGTTTTGCACTTAAAAGAAAACAAGAATTAGGCCTGCTTGATTGTTTATATCATTACAAAATATAGTCTATATTATCACTCAGCTCTAATCTGCTAAATGCGACTATAAGGCATAAACATATTAAAGGGACAGTTCACCCAAAAATGAAAATTCTGTCATTAATTACTCACTCTCATATCGTTCCAAACCCGTAAGACCTTTGTTCATCTTCAGAACACAAATTAAAGTATTTCTGATGAAATCCGAGAGCTTTCTGACCCTGCATAGACTGCAACGCAACTGAGACGTTCAAGGCCGGGAAAGATAGTAAGGACATCGTATGTGCCATCAGTGGTTCAATCGTAATTCTATGAAGCTATCAGAATCTTTTTTGTGCGCAAAGAAAACAAAAATAATGACTTTTTTCAACAATTTCTTCTCTTCTGTGTAAGTATTCGACACGCATTTACGAGAGTATCACAACGCATGATCTTACGGGTTTGGAACGACATGAGGGTGAGAAATTATTGACAGCATTTACATTTTTGGGTGAACTATCCCTTTAAGATATCTGTAAAGCTCTTTTGAACAATGCACATTGTGAAAAGGGCTAAATAAATACATTTGACTTGACATGTAGTAAGACAAAACAGCCTGAACTGATTCTCTTACTTTGACCACATTCCCTCTACAATCCTCCTTTTGGACATCAGGATCCTCAGTGGTCTTCACATCCACATTCTCCTGACTTTGTATTTTCTCCAGCAGCGAAGCTCTGTCTGCGAGGAGGTAAGCCACCTGTTCACTCAAGCTGATGGGAATAATATCAGCCAGACCTTCCTGAAGTAACATCTCGGAGATCTCACTCCTCTGTGCTTCTGTAAGCATAAATTCAAATGTCATGCGTGGTGAAGAGCGAGTCTGATGGAGGAGAGATCAGACAGAAATGCACCTTGTTGCCGATGGATGTCATCCAGAGTTGCATGGAACGTTTTGTTTTCTTGCTCGAGATGTAAAGCCACAGAGTCTCGGGTCTTTGTGAGACTCTTAATGTGATTGACATATTGCTGAACCTGAGATCGAAGAAGGACAAGACTGCAGTTTCCCTTTTGTGTATATTCTTCAATGCCTTGCATTGCTTATCTATCAAAAACATCTACTTTTGTGTTCCACAGACCAAACGTCACTTGTATAGATCCTTGTAACCAAACAAGTGATGAGTCTCCAGGTTTTTTCTTTAGACGTACTCACCTTTTCAATCTCAGCAACACGTTCCTTCTGCAGATCTTGTATCTGCTGGTTGAGGGATCTCACGGTACTTTCACTTTTCGTGTAAAGCTGCCACAGCAGAGACAGACGCTCATCGCTGGAGGCCGAGGCACCCAACCCTTCCTCCTGCAGCCGCTGATCCATGTCCTGCAACATCTGTCCATCCCAAACAGATACACTCTTAAAAATAAAGGTGCTTCACGAGGCCATAGAAGAACCTTTTTGTTTAAATGGTTCCATAAAGAACCTTTAACATCTGAAGAACCTTTCTGTTTCACAAAAGGTTCTTTGTGGTGAAAGAAGGTTCTTCAGATTACAAAAAGGTAAGAAAGAGATGGTTCTTTAAAGAACCTTTGACTAGATGTTTCTTTGTGGAACCAAAAATGGTTCTTCTATGGCATCGCTTGAAGAACCTTTTGAAGCACCTTTATTTTTAAGAGTGTATGGAGATGAACATACAGATGTTCTTTCTTTCTTTCTATCTATCTATCTATCTATCTATCTATCTATCTATCTATCTGTCGTGTGTTTTAGATGTTGTTTACACTAAACAGGTGATCTGCTCTGCTCATGTTTTGCACATCTTTTAACAGCTGTTGTTGCACATGCGCACATCACTTTTTCTTCCTTGAAACGACTTAGCGGTTTTCCAGCATGAAAACATTGCAACTTTCTGTTACTTTTGCTCTTCATCAAAACGAATAAAGCGAATAACGCACAAAATAATAGGAGGTAGGCTATATTGATATAACTTCAGATTGATGTTAACCACACCCGGATCATGATGTGTTTCCCTTTAAAGAACAGTTCAAATGAGCGATTGGCCTCGTAAATGTCTTTAAAAACAGGTCTTACCTGTGCTGTGCACATCTCTTGACGTTATTCAGAACCATTTAATTACTTATCGTTCTAGGTTATTATTTTGAAAATTTGTGAAAATTCCGCGACACACACACACACACACACACACACACGGTGCCCGGACTCCAAACTCTGCAGCTGCGAGTTCAATCGAACTTGTTTTCTTTCATGTAACTGTAGCGTTCTAACGGAACTTCTGAACATTCACGGTCGCCTAGAAATGGACGTTATAATGAATCGCTTTAAGTAGTTTTCAGCATTTGCGTGGAATTGACGTTCATCAGGCCGTCTGTCTGTGTGTGTGTGTGTGTGTGTGTGTGTGTGTCTGTCTATGTGGGACGTCCTGCAAAAGAACCCCACAACCCCCCTAATAAGAAACGCGGTTCCTTATAGCCTACAGGCCTACGATTCATTCCACCAAACGAGCGCCTTTTACACTTTGAAAAAGTCGCTTAAAGTACATTTCTTCAATATTTTAAACATTCCAACAGACTTTTTAAGTGTTAAATTCAGTTCTGCTTTTCATGGTTAAAGACATTAACGAAGGACACAAAAGTCATCCTTTTCATGGAATGACCCAGATAATATAAAAGCACTAGCCTGCCCAACATGCACATAAAATCATGTACATGCACAATCAACATGTACCGACCGTCGCTTGATTGTGCCATCCCAAAGAAGCACAAAATCACTTTCACGGACTTTTACATTAAATGTTCCCTCCTGGTGTAATGACCTTCCCAACTCAATCCGAGCAGCTGAGTCCTTAGCCATCTTCAAGAATCAGCTAAAAGCACATCTCTTCCATCTTTATTTGACCCTCTTTAGCACTCTCTATTCCAATTCTATTCTTTAAAAAAAAACACTTGTCCCTTTTAGACTTGCACTCTATTCATTTGCTGCTCGTTTTCTTTATAAAAAAAAACTAACACTAGCTTTCTAATCTTTTTGTATTCTATCTGTTTTCTTTTCATTTATTATACAATTAACAAAAGCAAAAAAAAAAGACCTCTAACACTAGCTTGCTCTATTCTTTTTCTATTCTGTCTGTTGTCTTTTTATTTATTATATTATTTTAAAAAACCTTGCTATGTGTACTGCGTTAAGCTAATTGAGACTTGTTCTAGCACTTGCGTATCATTGCTCTTTTGTTGATTTTGATTGCTTCCATTGTCCTCATATGTAAGTCGCTTTGGATAAAAGCGTCTGCTAAATAACTAAATGTAAATGTATTAACAAACATATCTAAAAAAAAAAAAAATATATATATATATATATATACATACAGTGGGGCAAAAAAGTATTTAGTCAGCCACCAATTGTGCAAGTTCTCCCACTTAAAAAGATGAGAGAGGCCTGTAATTTTCATCATAGGTATACCTCAACTATGAGAGACAAAATGAGAAAAAAAATCTTTACTTGGCTATTTAAATGTGTACATTCCATTGACTTCTTCTGTTGTTATACCGAGATAATTATAAATACTATAACCCTAACCCTCACAGAAAATTTTCTGTATTTTTAGAGTTTTATTTTCTTTATTTTTACATGTAATTTTTACAAAAGAGATTGATCCTGGATGTCCCCAAACTGTTTATATATAATTTTTAAATGTAATAAATATGTAATTTTTAAATATATTTAAATGTAAATTTATATATACACATACCCATGTACACAAAATTGTTTTATTGATGAATCTATATCAGAACATCAGTGCATTGACTGTAGTGTAATTATGTAACAGACTCTCTCTGGGTTTGGGGGGACACACAACTATAAGCCCGTTTTTAGTTTGTAAAACTAACCCAGAGTTTTTCTGGAGCTGTGAAGGAAGCTCCTCCTCTAACCAAGCCTGCATTCCTTCCTGGACCGTTTTCCCCAAACGTGGGAGACTGTGGAGAGAGACAGAGAGAGAGAGAGAGTGAGTGTGTGTGTGTGTGTGTGTGTGTGTGTGTGTGTGTGTGTGTGTGGGGGGGAGG